CGGTTCCTACTGAAAGCCTCTACGGCATGATTCCTATTGAAAGCGTCAACAAAAAGGATTCCGATTCAAAACCAATATAAAACGACTCCTATCGAAACGCAATACACATGGACTTCTTTTGAAAGCCTGTGCAAAAAGGATTTCTGTTGAGAGCCTCGACAACATGATTCCTATTCAGAGCCTCTACGAAAAGGATTCCGATCGACAGCCTTTACAACCGTATTCCTATTGAAAACGTTTACACAAGGATTCCGATTGAGAGCCTCTACAAAAAGGACTCCGATTGAAAGCCAATACAAAATGACGATTCTTGTAACGCAGTACACATGGCTTCCTATTGAGAGCCTCTACAACCTGATTCCTATTGAGAGCCTCTATAACAAGAATTCCTATTGAAAGCCTCTACAAAAAGATGCTTCATTGAAACCCAATACAAATGGGTTTCTCTTGGGAGCCTATGCGAAAGGCTTCCTGTTGAGAGCCTCGACGAAAGGATCCGATTGAAAGCCTTTACAAACTAATCCCCATTGAAACCCAATACACGTGTATTCCTATTGAGAGCCTGTGCAAAGGATTCCTGTTGAGAGCCTCCACACAAATCCCATTGAGAGCCTTTTACAACAACGATTCCTATTCAGAGCCTCTACGAAAAGGATTCCGATCGAAAGCCTTTACAAACAAATTCTTATTGATAGCCTCTACAAAAAAGGGTTCCTATTGAAAGCCAATGCAAAATGAATACTACTGGAAGTCAATACACATGGTTTCCTGTTGAAAGCCTGTGCAAAATTATTCCTGTTCAGACCTTCCACGACAATATTCCCATTGAGAGTCTCTATACAATGATTTCTGTTGAAAGCCTCTACACAAGGATTCCGAATGAGAGCCTCTTACAAAAGGGATTCCTCTTGAATGCCCATACAAAAGGATTACTATTAAAACGCAATACAAATGGCTTCCTATTGGAAGCCTGTGCAAAACCATTCATGTAGAGCCTATACAGAAGGATTGAGAGCCTCGTATACAGAAGGATTCACGTAGAGCCTATACAGAAGGATTCATGTAGAGCCTATTAAATAATCATTGAGAGCCTATACATAAGGATTCCTACTGAGAGCCTCCACAAAAGGAATCCTAGTGAGAGCCTCTACAATATTGATTCCTAGTGAGAGCCTCTACAAAACGATTCCTATTGAGAGCCTCTACAAAAAGATTCCTATTGAGAGCCTCTACAAAAAAATCCTACTGAGAGCCAATACAAACATGATCCCGACTGAAACACAAGACTACTGCATTACTATTGAGAGCCGGTGCAAAATGATTCCTGTTGGGAGCTTCCACAAGAGGATTTTCATTCAGAGCCTCTACGAAAGGATTCCTATTGAGAGCCTCTGCGCAACGATTCCGATTGAAAGCCTCTACACAGGGATTCCTAGTGAGAGCCTCTGCAAAAAGGATTCCTATTGAAAGCAAATACAAACATAATACTATCGAAACGCAATACACATGGCTTCCTATTGAGAGCCTGTGCAAAAGGATTCCTGCTGAGAGCCTGTGCGCAATGGGTTTCTATTGGGAGCCTGTGCAAAATGATCCCTTTCTCAGCGTGTTCAGTTCTTCATCCTCTGCAGTCCTGCTCATCATCATCATCGTCATCGTCATCATCAGCATCATCATCATCATCTCTTCATCATCGTCGGGATCGCACTCGTCTTATCTAGCTCCTCTTCCTCCTGGCTCATATTATCGAATTCTTCACTCTCCTGATCCCTCTCCTCCTCATCATCATTCCCCTCCTGAGGGTGCAGAGGGACGGGGATCCAGCGCGAGAGAATACTAGACAGCGTGCCGCCCTCAGCCCGAGGTTGCAGTGCCCCGCCGCCGCCCTCAGCCCGAGGTTGCACTGCCCCGCTGATGGATGGGTGGATGGCGCGCTCATCAAGGCAGTGACTGAAAGCAAGCTTGCAAACGAGAGAAAATGTTACGTCGATCGCTCGATCGTTTTGTCCTTGCCTCCCAAGGAGAGGAGCAGCTGACGGGACAGGCCCCAACGCACCCCGCTGAAGGAAGATAAGAGGATGAGGAAGTGCGACGGAGAGCGGGGAGCAGATGAGGGAGGGGATACTATGTATGATCATGTGGTGGTGGTGGTGGTGGGGGTGGGGGTGGGGGTGGTGGTGGGGGGTGGTGGTGGTGGTGGTGGTGGTGGTGGTGGTGGTGTGGTGGTGGTGTTGGTGGGTGGTGTGGTGGGTGGTGGTGGTGGTGGTGGTGGTGGTGGTGGTGGTGGTGGTGGTGGTGGTGGTGGTGGTGGTGGTGGTGGTGGTGGTGGTGGTGGTGGTGGGTGGTGGGGGTGGTGGGTGGTGGTGGTGGGTGGGGTGGGTGGGTGGGGGTGGGGGGGGTGGGGGGGTGGGGGGTGGGGTGGGGTGGGTTGGGGTGGGTGGGGTGGGTGGGTGGGGGTGGGGTGGGTGGGGTGGGGGTGGGGGTGGGGGGGGGGGGTGGGGGTGGGGTGGGGGTGGGGTGGGTGGGGGGTGGGGGGTGGGGTGGGTGGGGTGGGGTGGTGGTGGGGTGGTGGGGGGGGGAGGGGGGGGGTGGGGGGGGTGGTGGGTGGGTGGGTGGGGGGGGGGGGGGGTGGTGGCGGTGGTGGCGGTGGTGGTGGTTGTGTGTGTGTGTGTGTGTGTGCGTGTGTGTGTGTGCGGGTGGGGGCGGGTGGGTGGGTGGGTGGGTGGGGTGGGGTGGGGTGGTGGTGGTGGTGGTGGCGGTGGTGGTGGCGGTGGTGGTGGTGGTGGTGTGTGTGTGTGTGTGTGTGCGTGTGTGTGTGTGTGGGGGCAATCATATATATATATATATATGTATATGTATATGTCTGTGTTTATGATTGTGTATATGTGTATGTAGATGTATATGTATGTATGTACATGTATCCATGATATGTACATGCGTATATTTATATATATGTATGTGTATATATACACGTATCTATACATATGTATATATCCTTGGGCACGAGGCGAGGGGGCCTGGGAAGGGGGCCCTTGACTGCGCGTGGGTGAAGGGGGCCGTCAGGGGCGCCCCGGGGCGGCCCAAGACGACCCCACAACGCGCGAAGACGGCCCGGATAGGCCTCCAAGAGGGCTACAGGCGCGGAAGTATCTTTCTTACGCGTCCAAGATGGCTACCAGATGGCCCGAAAGGTTTCCAACGCGGCCCGAGGGGTCTCCACGGGCACTCCTCCGAGGGCCCCAAGATGCCGACGTCGTTGATTTGCTTTTGGTTTTTGATGCGTTTTAGCGTTTCTGCCTGTTCCGCTCCCTGGCGCTCCAAGACGGTCCGGGGCGCCCGAGTCTCGTCCAAACAGGCTCCCGCGACGCCGATGAAAAGAGCCGCAAGAGGACTCGGGTTCGAAACGCGGACATTCGCTCTCGCGCGCCCAAGATGGCCTCCAGATGATTCAAAAGGTTTCCAACGCGGCCTAAGGGGTCTCCAAGAGCACTCGTCCTAAGGGCCCCGAGAAGCCAAAATCATTGATTGCGAAGGCGTTCCGACCGGTGCCGCCGACCCTGAAGACGACGTCGACGACGAGGATGACAAAGAGGAGGAGGAGGAGGAGGAGGAACAGGAGGAGGAGCAGGAGGAGGAGGGGGGCAGGACGAGGCACCCATGACCGCCCAAGGCGGCCCCAATATGGGCCTAGAAGGCGAATGCTCCGCCCCAAGGGGACCCCGAGGCCCCCAGGGAGACCCCAAGAGGCTTCAACACTGTTTCCAAGAGGCTGCCCAGAGGTTTCAGCAGAGACGCGAACAGTCATTGAAGAGGTCTAACACCAACAACGCAGGCACGATTGGAGGATGCGCAGACGGCCACCGTGAGGGGAATACGTGGACGAGGGGCACGGTGGCCCTTCCTCTTTGTGTCCTCCTCCTGCTCTTCGTCTTCGAAGACTTAACTTCTCCTCCTGCTGCTGCTGCCACTGCTTCCCCTTCTGCCCTCGTTTTCGTCACCGTCATGCCCCTGGACTCTTCTCCTCCTTCTCGACCTCCAAACCGGCCCCCTCGTCTTCTCCGTCGTCTTCCTGGATACCTCCGTGCTTAGGGAAAGGCTGCTTACTACTTGTTTCCGTAGCGTCTTCGGACGGAAGTCATGTCCGGACCCGTCGCCCAACCCTCGGCATCTCGCTGCGAGCTGGGTTTCTGGAAAACCTGAGCGCGCGCGCAAAGCGCGCGCGAACGTTTTAGTAAATACGTAGGTACATACGGATCTACATTTTTCATGTTTACATGCGCTATATATGCTGGTATCGGTAACGGATGTGGAGGTAATGGACATGATGCGGGTGGTGGCAGGAGGAGTGGCAACAGGAGTCGGAACACACGGAATCTTCACTATCAGGAGGAGGCGGGATGTCGGAGGAGGCATGCAACGAGGACGGTCAGGAAGGAGAGCGAAAACGATATTTGGGATTGAGGTCTGGTAGGAGTGCTGAGCCGGGGCGAGAAAGAAGGCTGATGATGCGGGGCGGTGGTGAGGAGGCTTGGGCAGACGGTTTGAGGAGAGGTTCGAGGATCATCGTTGAGGAGAAGAGTTGAGGATAGACGGCTCAACAGCGCCCAAACGCGCGGTATCCTCCTCTTCCTCCTCCTCCTCGGGGATCGACACGCGTCCAGACGGCTCAAGAGCGCCCCAAGACGGCCCACATGGGTCCACTGGTGGCCTGGGGGAGAAAGGCCTCCACGTCTCGCAATTCGTCGTCGTCGTCGTCGCCGTCGTCGTCGTCGTCGTCGTCGTCGTCGTCGTCGTCGTCGCCGTCGTCGTCGTCGTCGTCGTCGTCGTCGTCCTCGTCGTCCTCGTCCTCGTCCTCGTCGTCGTCGTCGTCGTCGTCGTCGTCCTCCAACTCGTCGTCGTCGTCGTCGTCGTCGTGACCGACATGGTGATCGACGTGGTGGTGGTCGTCGTCGTCGTCCCCAAGTTGGAGGGGGGGGAGCCCACGAGCCGTTCCTTGGCAGGCCACCATCGCCAAGGAGGGCTCCAACATCGATGGCTCCCAGCCGCCCTGGAGGAGGAGGAATGAGGAGGTGGAGGAGCTAGGAACGAGAAGCGAGGAGGAGGACGATGCGTAACGAGGAGTAGGAAGAGGATGAGGAGGAGGAGGAGGAGGAGGAGAATGGACATGAGGAGAAGCGAATAGGAGGAGGAGGAGGAGGAGGAGGAGGAGGAGGAGGAGGAGGAGGAGGAGGAGCGTGAAGCGAGCAGCGATGGTGGTGATGGTGGTGATGATGGCTGTGGTGATGATGATGATGATGATGCTGATGCTGATGCTGATGCTGATGCTGATGCTGATGCTGATGCTGATGCTGCTGATGATGATGACGATGATGATGATGCTGATGATCATGATGAGGATGATGATGAGGAGGAGGAGGAAGAGAAGGCGGAGGATAACCATAATGATGATATTGAGGATGATGATGCTGATGATTATGATGAAGATGATGATGCTGCTGATGATGATGCTAATGATGATGATGATGATGATGATGATGATGATGATGATGATGATGATGACGATGATCACGATGATGACGATGATGACGATGATGACGATGATGATGATGATGATGATGATGATGATGATGATGATGATGATGATGATGGTGGTGATGGTGATGGTGATGGTGATGGTGATGGTGATGGTGATGATGATGATGATGATGATGATGAGGATGATGATGGTGAGGAGGAAGAGGATCAGGGAGGGGGGAGCGAGGAGGGGATCGATGAGGATCGAGGCGGAGAGTTGAGGTTCGAGTGTATGAGAGTTGATGTTCAATCTTAAGGTTTTTCGCGTTCTTCAGTGCTTCTTGGCCTTTGGGAGTCTCGTCGCCTCGGCTGGACTCATCTAAACTTTAGTGCTTAGCACAGAGCAGGATCACATCGGATGCCGCCGATGGTTTTGGTCTCGCGTTGCCTTTCGACATGTGGCAGCGAGGAATAGCATTCAGTATGTGACTATTGCCGTTGATGCTCGATAGGGCCCCTGAGTCATCGCAAACGGATGCGTTTCCTCATGCACGCGTAGCTGGTAATCATGATTACCGATTCTCTATCTCATCGGGATTGTTTTTTGAGTGCTACCATCATCCGATAGGAGGGTGGATGGGTAGATGATGATGATGATGATGATGATGATGATGATGATGATGATGATGATGATCATGATCATGATCATGATAATCATGATGAGTGTGATGCTGACGACGACGATGATGATGCTGATGATGATGATGACGCTGATGCTGATGCTGATGCTGATGCTGATGATGACGAGGATGATGCCGCTGCTGATGCTGATGATGATGCTGAATATTATGATGATGCTGATGATGATGGTGATGATGCTGATGATGCTGCTGCTGATTATGCTACTGATGATGAGACGATGATGGTGCTGATGCTGCTGCTGCTGATTATGATGATTATGATGACGATGATGACCATGATGAGGATGTTGATGAGGATGACAATCATGATGATGATGATGATGATGATGATGATGATGATGATGCTGCTGATGATGATGATGATTATGATACTGATGATGATGATGCTGTTGCTGATGATGATGATGATGGTGGTGATGATGATGATGATGATGATGATGATGATGATGATGATGATCATGATGATCATGATGCTGCTGCTGATGATGATGCTGATGCTGATGCTGATGCTGATGATGGTGATGATGATGATGATGATGATGATGATGATGATGATGATGATGATGATGATGATGATGATGATGATGATGATGATGATGATGATGATGATGACAGGACGGTGATGATTTTGACGAGGATGCTGATGATGATGATGATGAGAGAGAGGCGGATGAGGAGGAGGAGGAGGAGGAGGCGGAGGAGGAGGAGGCGGAGGAGGAGGAGGAGGAGGAGGAGGCGGCAGGGCCGGACGCACCCGACACCTGGCACCACCATCAATTCAAGGAACTTCGTGCTACACTGCATGCTTCTACCCCGGTCACCTTGCTACATCTTTGCAAGATGTCCGTGACCATCTTAGCTCGAGACTGGTTCGGACACCCCCCTCTGCAACAAAAAGGCGTGACCTCGTCTGCTCGACCTGCAGCAGTTGGGCTCGGGTTGGACTCGGCCGGCGCCCATGGAACCATCATTGGAGGGCATCGCTGTCTTCCAGTCCGTCGACTCGGTCTTTGCATGTACGGGCATCGCGGAGGCGGCAGCGGCGGCTTTCAGGGCGTCCTTGGGCGCAGACGGCACAGAGCATCCTAGCATCTTCGGGAACACGAAAGACGACGACTTCGAGGCCGCAGTGCTCGAAGCCCGCATTGGCTCCGCGGAGCTGACCCGCGTCCAGAAGAGCCAGTGCCGGTTTATCGGGCGCATCTAATTACCAGGTCGTAGGCGGCATGGAAAAGTCCCAACCTCAGATGGCGGAAGCTCTTGCCGCCAAGGAGGAGCAGGCTGAAGGCATGATGGAGGACGCCATCACGATCGCGACGGGGGCTCTGCACGCGGCTGAGTCCGCGGCATCGGCAGACAAGCAGCACGACATCCGTCCGAAGGTCGCGCTTCAGACCATCATCTCCCAGAGCAGCCATGAGGCAGTGCCCGCGTTCAGCAAGGCTGACCTCGAGAAGAATTTCGCGTCGTTCCACAAGGTGTACGACAGGAGCCCGCGTCCAGACGAGGTGTGCACGACGGACCAGCTGACGGGCTTGTTCATGCTCCTCCACCAGGGCGTGGCGCCGTACGTCGACTTCGGAGTTCGCGGACCGAACCACCATCGCCTGTTGCGCAAATTGCGCCTGACAGGCTTGGTCCCCCGGGCCGACGGCACTTAAAACATCGAGCTCCTTGGCCCGCCTGACGTCGAAGACTGGCAAGCGTGCTACCAACTCGTGATCGCCAGTCTGCTGGGCTTCGAGGCGGTCGCGTTCGGGCCGTTGCCCGACTGCGGGAAGAGGATCAGCAAGTACGCCAACCGGTACGGGCCCCAATGTCGGGCAATAGTCTACCAAACGGGCGTGAGGTGCAGGATGGAGCATGTGGAAAGAGTGCGCCAGAAGCTGGAAAGAAGGGTTTGCGAAAGCTAAATCAGAAGGCAAGGAAGCAGCGCACCCCTACGCCGCGGGACAGCGCGTGGCGCGCGGTCGTCGTTGACCACGAAGTTTCGAAAGAGCAAGTCGAGGAACCCAGCTCGCCAATGCCGGAGCTAAGAGCTTGGCAGACTTGGTGGAGGGCGACGCTCCTGTCGCGCCTGCGGGCCCCCCGCGCGCCCCAGACGCTGCCGGGGGCGTCCGTGCTCCCAAGCGTGCCCTTCGCGACGAGAAGGGGGGGCAGCCGCTGGAGGTGCACCGGGTCGTCGACGGCATTTGCGCGCGCAGCTGCAAGGGCAGTGCCGCATTTCAGACGGGGAATTGTCTGTCGGGCCGAAGCCCGCCGTGGTGCCCGCAGGCGAGAGATGTCGCCCATCAGTGTGCGAAGTGCTTGCAGACCGGCCGCGTGGCGATCGAGTCGAAGGGCAAGGGGGCCCCGCGCGAGCCAGCCTTCAGCCAAAGGGGCCAGGGCAAAGGCTTGGGGCCGAGGGAAGCAGGGAGGGCGTAATTACTGGAATGCCACGGCGGCTTCGTTGCCTTAGGTCGCGCAGGTGGTGCGCGTGAAAGGCGCGGAACAGGGCGCGCTGGCGCGTCTTGGGCCCAGCCTTGAGAAGCAGTGCCTGGCGGCTGACAGGCAGGATCTGGCTCCCATGGAAGGCGCAAGTGCGATGCTGGTTTTGTTCTTTGGGCTCGCGGGCAAGCGTGGCGACTTGGACGCATTCGCGCGCCGACTGGGGTGGGCAGCGGAGATGCGGGACATCGTCGACGACGCGTCAGCCTACGACCTGTCGGATAAGTGGATCTTCGAGGGAGGGTCTCCTCGGTGAGATCCCGGCCGGGCCCTGCGTTGCGTGCTTTATGCTGCCTCCGTCTTCGACCTCCATTGCCCTCCTCGGTGCGTCGCCGGGCAATCGTTCAGGTGAGTGCGACTCCGGTCCGCGGCCGCTGCGCTGAGAGCGCCCGCCGTCGCAGCGCGGCCTTCCCGGGCTGAGGCCAGAGGGGAAGGGCGAGGTCAGGATGGGCGCGCTGCTGGCCGCACGGGCCGCGAAGGTTGCGAAGGTTTCCCGCGTGCAGGGGAAGTCCTAGGGCATCCAGGCGCTGGGGCCGCTCGGGGGGGCCGGCCCTGCGGCGAGCAGTGCCGCCGGCCGCCCGTGAGGCGCGTTGAGGCAAGGGCGGAGTTCGCGACGACGCGGGGTCGGTCCGCGACCTCGACGGGGGCATCGCCTGTGCAGCCCAGCTTCGCGAAACGAAGCTGGATGCAAAGCAGATCAGGCGCCGGGGGGGCGCGGCGTCGCTGGTCGGTCTCCGCCGCGCGGCGAGGGTGGTTGCCGAGCTGCCCGGGCGCGCGAAGTTGGGCGGCATCCTCGCTCCTCTGTTCGGCGCCGGATTCGACAGGAAGCCGCAACTGGTGCAGCTGATCCTTCACATGCCGTCAGGCGTCCTAAATGACAGCGAGCTCGGCGACGCCGCGGGCGATTTGGAGTTCGCTCTCGGGGCTGTGTGAGACGGGCCCAGCGTGGTCCTTTCCGCGGACGTCGGCCCCTCGCCCACAGGCGCTTGTTCCTCGTGTATTCGGGGGCGCTTAATGCAGCGGTGGGCCGCGGTGGCTGGCGACCCGGGGGCGTGCGTGCGCGAATGGCCCCGGGGCGGCGTCGGGGCGGGCATGGCGCTCGATCCGTTGGGCGCGGGCGCCGTCTTCTTGCAGATCCTTCCTGAGCAGCGGCGAGGCGCGCCTTCGGCGGTCGATTTCGCCGACGGGGTGGGGCCGCCAGACCTGGGCCCGGAGCCCCTGGAGCAGATCAGATCTTTCTTAGAGGAGGCCTGGCTGGTCGAGGCGATGCGCGAGCGGCTCTGCGAGTGGTTCGGCAAGGAGCACGCGATCTCGAAGTTCGCAGTCATTGAGCAGGGCGAGCAGGGAAGAGTTAAGAGGCGCCCCGTTCTGGACCTCGAGCATTTTGGAAATGTCGCCTCGGGCGCGCCATGCGCTTGGGGTAGTGCTGCCTCGGGCCGCCGATGCTGCGCGCGACGCGCTCGAATTCGTGGTGGACTTGGGGGGCGAGGGGCAGATCGAGCATTTCGTCGTGGACTTGAAGGATGCCTTCTGGAACGTGCCATGGCGCCTGAGCGAGCGCAGATTCTTCGTGGGGGCGGCCCGCGGCGCGTGCAACGTATGCGCGAGGGCCGCCCGAGGATCGAGGAATGGGCCGCTCGCGTGGGCGGGGCCAGTTTCCATTCTCCCGCGCTGCGCGCAGGGCCTGCCGGCGGGCGTGGAAGCGTCCAGGCCCGCGCGAGGCGGGGGGCACCTTTGCGTGGATGGCTCCATTTTTGCGCTGAGGGGGGCCAGATGCCATCGCGATCGACCTGTCGCCTTGGTGGCGGCAGCGTGGTGCGTCCTCGGCCCCCCGCTTGCTTTCGCGAAGGCGAGGCGCGGTTGCGCCGTGGACTGCATTGGGTGCGACCTTTCAACTTCGACGAATCGCGTGGCGATCGCGATCCCGAAGGACGAGATCACCGACGCGCTTGATCTCGCGACTCAGTTCTTGGCCTACAGCGCCCCGCTTGCCGAAGTGCGCTGGGCTAACTAACCACTTGCGTCGCGAACGTGTTGTTCGTCTGGCGCCCGTTCCTGGCCGACCTTTGGGTGGGTCGGCGGTCGTTCGACTCTGGCCGCGAGACCAGGGCGCCGCGCGGCTGCATTTGGGCGCGGCAGGTCCAGCCAGCTCTCCCGTGGATTTCCACTTTCTTGCGGCGGCAGGCCGGGGCCCTGGCGATGGTGCGCCGCTTGGGCGCGTGCAAGGACCAGGGGGTCAAGTTGTGCATCGTCGGGGGTGTTTGCATTTGGGTGTGCAGCGCTTATACTTGCAACGGCGATGCTCTCTTGGCCTACCATGCGAGCCGATCTCGCAGGGCGACGAGCGCCCCTGGGAGCGCGCCGGGGCGACCAGGTGGCAGCAAGTGTTCGAGGCCAAGAACTTGCTCATTGCATGGGGGGCGTGGGCCAGCCACTGGGTGCAAGACTGTCAAACTCGAAGTCTGGGCAGACAACATCGCCGCCTTGACTCTGGTTCTCAGGCTCAAGGGAAGCTCTGGGGCTCTCAACGGAATCGCCCGGGAGCTTGCCTAGCGTGGGCCCGGCCTCGTTGCGCCCGGACGTCGTCGCCCGCGCGCCCTGGGTCGCGTCGAGGATCGCCGATGCGATCTCCTGGAAGTTCGACCCGAGCTTAAATTTCGCACTCTCGGATGCCCTGCGTGGCGTGCCATCCGCGCCAGCCCCGGCCCGAGCGGCCTCTTTCTGGTGTGCTGGCGACGCGGCCGCGGGGCAGGTGGAGGTCTGAGTGGGGCCGCTTTCTGCGCATTCGCGCCGCGCGCGCCGCGTGTTAGGCGGCGGGCCCCCCGGATTGGAGCGGGCCCGTTTTCGGCCGCGCATGCGCTGCATGCGCGTCGCGCGTTGGACGGCAGGCCCCGCGGAGTGGGATTAAATTCGGATATTTGCTTCAAGGAAAAAGAGCGAGGATGGGGCACTTGTGCGCTATGTGAGCGTTCGGCCGCGCGGGCGCTATAGGTGCGCTCCGGGCGCGCTGCGTGTGCGGCGCCAGGGGAGTGGCTCCGCGCGGTTGCAGAGGTGGTCGGGCGCTGCGTGCGCGATTGGCTAGTAGGCTGTCCTTCGTGTGCGCCAGTCCGTGGGTTGTCGCTTCGCGCGCCCCTCGGCGCTCGGTCGTCGCGCTCGGTGTCGGGGTGGGGCAAGCTTCGCTGCCCGCCAGGTTTCGCGCTGTATGTGCGCCAGCGCGTGGCTCCATATGTGTGCTGCGCCGGTTGTAGCGCCATAGGCGCGGGGCGTCGTCTCTCGCGTCTCTCGTTATTCGTGTTTCACGCCGTGCGCGTGGGGGCGCGGCGGATTGCACCTTGTGCGCGCGCCCCTCGGCAGCGGGGGCCATGCCCTATGTGTGGGGGTTCCAGGTTAATGGCGCTATATGCGCGGGGCGTCGGCATGCCGGTTGCGCCGCGGCATTTTTGCAGACGGGCCTGCAGCGCGCCGCGCCAGGCATCTGGCTGCCGCCATGGGCAACAGGTCTGCGCGCCCAGGCGGAAACCTTTGCAATGTTCGGGTGCCGGCGCTGCTCGCCCCGGCCGTGGTGCTCCAGCTGCGGTCCCAGATGGTGGAAATGGCGGCAGCGCGGCGGCTCCGGATGTCGCGCCGCCGGCGGCGGCGCGGCCTGCGCGGCGCGTTGCCGAACGCGGCGGCGCGCTGCAGATGGCTCCTTTGCGCGGGCGGCGGGTTCCGTGGCAATTGCGCGGGGCAGGGGCGCCGCGTGGGCGCGCCTGGAGCGCGACGTGCGCGTGCAGTCTTCGCGGGCGCCACCGTGCCCCGTGCTCCGCGCGTGGACTCGCCTCCGCGACGCATGGCTCAACGAGGACTTGACCTTGGGAGAGCCGGACATAGCTGTGCTCTTACTCGCCGCGATGAAGGTCATGGCCGCGGTGGCGTTGCTGAGGGCGGGCGGGTACCGCTCCGCAGCGAGTTGCTTCTCCAGGGCGAAGGGGCATATCGCTGCAGGCCACCCGTGGGGCGACCAGCTCAATTGGATCGCGCGGAAGGCCAGCGCCAGTGCTTCGCGAGGCATTGGGCCCTCGCGTCAATCGCCCCCCCTGCCGCTCCGCGAGGTGGCGATGCTCGGGTTGGATTCGGCCCCCGAGGGCTTCGTGGGCCCTGTGGGCGTCCAGGCCTTCGCCATGGGAGGGTCATTCTTTTGCCTGCGTGAGAGAGGCGCCCCTCGCCATGCGGTGCGACGTCGCCGTCGATTTGGCGCGCGAGGAGGGAAGTTGCCCGGCTGTTGCCGCGTTCGAAAACAGACCTGGCGGCGATGGACAAGAGCCGTGCTTGGGGCTGCGCGTGCCGGCCTGGCGAAGTCTGGCCTTGCCCGTGCCGCGCTCTGCTGGCTCGCAGGGGCTGGTGCGTTGAGTACTTCGGCGTGGGTGCGATCTCCGAGCCCCCGGTCTTCCGGGCCATCGACGGCCGCGCAGTGGGCGAGAGACGGGTCGTGGAGGCGTTCGTCCACGTCGCGAGCAAGCTTGGCATCGTCGCGCACGATCGGGGCGGCTCGCGCCTCGTGTCGCAGGCGCCCAGGGGTTTGCGTCGATGGGTGCCCCATTGCTCGCAATTCAACTCCTTACCTGGTGGGCTTCTGACGCGGTCCTGCGTTGCGTGGCGGAGGCGCCATTTTGCGCGCTTGCCGACGCGCGCCGAAGGGTCGCCGGCGGAGCGGACCTAGGAGTAGTCGCCGACGGCGTCGTGAACAGCTGCGAAATCAAGCGGAACACCGCGCCGACCTGGGCGCCCGCGTCGAGGCCATGGTGGCCGAGGGGGCGGACATCTGGAAGGAGCGGGCAGCGACTGCGGCCAAGATCTTGGAGGATAGCGACTTCACCCACGTGGCTTCTGAAGGCCGCGGTAGGAGAGCGCGTGCAATCTTCGCTCGGGCGTTGGTGGGCGTGTCACCACGGATGTGGAAGACGCGATGCGGCTGGCAATTCGGCCTCTCTGCGCACGCCTTGCTTGGGCAAGCTCTGCGCAACGCGCAGGCCGGACATCCGTGTGTGGCCGGAGGAAGGTTGAGCGCAGTAGAGTGCTGGTGAAGTGGGCCGGTTGGGGAGGCTGGGGACAGCGGCCGATTCATCTATAGGCGCAGGCTGCCAATTCCCCGTTTCCTCCGACCGTATGCAGTCAGCAGCTTCGATAAACATATTGTAATACATTTCTTGCTGTCCTGGGATGGGCGGTCGCGAACAGTGACGTCAGGTTGTGGTCGTCCTCCTCGTTCCGTCCTTCCTTCCCTTTTGGACGAGTCCCGATGTCATTTGAATTTATCGGAGGTTGGGGGGTGAGATCGAAGTGGAACGGAGAGCCCCCCACCAGGAAATCGGTTTCGGTTTCGTGTTCGTGCGTGCCGTTCGCGCGGGCGAAGCGAAACTGCGTGGGCGGGCGAGAGGAAAGTCTCCTGTGGCTGAGGCGCGGCCGGACCAAATGATTCTCCCTCCGGCAAGCGATGGCGCGCGGTGTCCCGCCGGTGTCCCGCTTGTGGCCTCCCTCTGGCAAGCAGTGGCGCGCGGTGTCCCGCCGGTGTCCCGCCGGTGTCCCGGTGTCCCGCTGGTGCGAAAACGATAGTGAGACCGATGGCGGCGAAGTCGATAGTGAGATCGATAGTGAGATCGATAGTGAGACCGATAGTGAGATCGATCGTGAGATCGATCGTGAAATCGATAGTGAGATGAATCGTGATATCGATTGTGAGATCGATAGTGAGATGAATGAAGACCCCCCAAGAGGTCCAAACAACGCGCCCAAACGGCCCCCCAAACCCTTGCACACCTGACTGAATAAATTACTATTTCGTTAGTTTCTTGGGGGGGAATGATACCAAGGCGCCCAAGAGCGAATGATGACGTAAACAACTCGACACCAAGGCTCCCAAGAGCGAGTGGCAACGCAAGAATCACCACTGTTGCCCATTGCTGGCCCCCTTCCCCCCCCAACTTCCTTATCACCCGCAAGGTGGTCGTATAGGTATTGTTTTTGGTGCTTGTTGTGTTTTTGTCGCGCTTGGTCGCCGATGATTGCACCGTGGGACGCGGCCCAGGCGAGAGCCAAACTATGCCATCGCCACAATTTCAAAACATGCTCAATTCTGCCGTGCTCTTGTCAATTCTGCCCTTCCTCCACGTCCCTCCTCATCCCTGTCCATTTCCTCCTCCTCCCACTCCTCCCGCGGCCCCGCTCGTCTTCCATCCTCCTCCTCCTCCTCCTTTCCCTCCTCTCTGTTCCGCCTCCTCGTCGTCCTCCACCTCGTGTCCTCCTCCCGTGTCCTCCTGTTCTTCCTCCGCCTATTTTCATTTAGATAATTCAGTCCTCCGTGTCGCACCCCCAGACGTGTCGGCAGGGCGTGCAGGACGCTTCGTTTGAGACTTTTTCATCATCTATGATCATGAGGCTTGACATTTGCAGCAGCTTCAAGGATGGAGGACGGCCTGTTTCCAAACTGTGGCTCTCGCCTAAACACCGCGCGCATTCGTCCAAAAAGTTTGCAATAGTTTCGAGGATGGAGGGCGGGCCGTTTTCATTTTCTCGCTCTGGCTTTAGCGCGGCGCACATTCGTCTTCAAAGTTTACAGCAGTTTCAAGGATTAGGGCGGGCCGTTTTCATCATGTGGCTTTCGCGCCAGCGCCACATACATTCGTTTTAACCATTTGCAGCAATTTCAAGGAGGGTGGTCCAGTCTCAAACTGTGGCCCTCGCCACAGCGCCGCGCACATTCGTTTTAAATATCTGAAGCAGTTCAAGGATGAACGGCTGTCTGGTTTCAAAATGTGGCTCTCGCATGGACGCCGCGTGTATTCGTCTTAAAAGCAGCAGCTTTCAGGGTTTGTATCGTTGAAATGCCAGGAATCGTGTCCTGGCACGGTTTAGGACTGGCAGAGCCCAACAGTCGCGTGGTTCTTTGTGTTGAAGTCCCATGAATTGTGTTTTTGTGACCTGCCACTTCTGATTCTCAGGACGCAACAGTTACGCTTCGCGGCGTTGAAGTCCCAGGAATGGTGTTTTGGTGCGTTTGAGGATTCTTAGACGGTTGTCTTCCAACGTGGCATTTCCCGCAGTGAACGCGCGCATTCTTGCAAGGGGCGTATGAAGAGGGAATTTGGAGGGATAGTTGATTGCAACATCGTTGATGCGTCTTGGGTTTACACTGCTCCTCCTTCTCCTCCTGCTCCTCTGTGCTCGTGATCCTCCTCCTCCTCTGTGCCAGCCTCTTCGCACGCCGTCTCGGAGGGGGTCTTTCGCGCGCCGCCCGTCCACGGCCGAGGTTTCAACACGAAGATCGAGGACGCGCGCCGCGCTGGGCATGGGGGCGGAGGGTGAGGACGAGGAAGGTCAAGCGCAGTGGCGGAAGGGAGAGTGGGCAAACATGAGGAGGAGGATGCGGATGAGGATGAGGATGAGGATGAGGATGAGGATGAGGAGACGAGGAAATGAGGAAATGAGGAAATGATGATGAGGAGGAGGAGGAGGAGGAGCAGGAGGAGGAGGAGAAGGAGGAGGAGGAGGAGGAGGAGGAGGAGGAGGAGGAGGGTAAACTGCCTGGGAGTCAGCACTCTGGAGGAGCTCCGCGCCAGGTGCCCCCGTACTCTCCAGGCCTTCGCCCAAGCAGAACAAGCGCTCCACAACGCTGGCGCTCTCGAAGGCGAACCCCTGAACCTGCTCAGCTACATGCGGGAACCGCAGCACAAGCGGCCGGGGCAGTGGAGCAAAGCCGCCTCTGGGGCCAGCCGAAAACGACTCCTGGGCACGCTGCTGGACGAAGACGGCCGCCTCTCCTTGCGCTCGGCTGGAGGGGCCGGCGCGGGGTCCTTCCTGTTGCCCCGCAACGCTGGAGATGCTGCGCAGCCCGACAAGCACTTCCTGACCAACCTCAAGATGCGGCTGGACCTGCCCGTCTGCCCGGAGGGGGCCCGGTGTCAGCACAGAAACGCGGCGACGGGACAGGTTTGCAACCACCCGCTCGACAGGAAAGGCTGGCACGCGAGAAAATGCGAAGGCGGGAGGTCGCGGAGCGACAGACACAACCGCCTGCGCGACTTCCACTCTAAGCGGCACACGGAGCTCACGGGCTACGCCGCCCCCGCCGAGCAGCACGTGCCTGGGTGGGATCGTCGTTTCCCCAATGGCACCGTCGAGGAGACCAAGCTCGATGTGGCCACCGTCGATCACAATGCTGGGCGCCACATCTACGTGGATTGGGCCATTACCTGCGCACATTCATCCTATGCCCCGCGCAGGCAGGCCCCGTCCAACAGGAGTGCCCTCGCTGCATCCCAGAAGGTCGACGAAAGAGGGCGCAGTACCCTCCCAGGCCAGGCTCCGACCTGATCCCCATTGTCTTCGAGGCCGGGGGGCGCCCCTCCGAGGAGGCGGCGGCCTTCGTGCGCAGCTACGGCGCCGACCTCGAGGTGGCAGAACGAGGGGAGGTCCTCAGCCGCCTGTGGCGGGACATTTCCGTTACCCTGCGCACGGGTAGCGCCGAGATGATCCTCAGCGCCCTGGGGCAGTAGAGCGTTTCTAGGCCGCTGCTACGGCGCCCCGCGCCCTGGCGCCGCGGGCCGCACGGCCACCGCGACAACGCCCGCAGCGACGACTCCCACCACGATCGCCGCTGGCACGCCCGACTGCCCCATTGCGGGCACGTCCGCGCCGACCACCGCGACCGCCACGACTGCCAACGCATTTCCCAACTCGACCGCTAACTTTAAGGGTAGCTCTTTGGGAGATGTTATAGAGGATCGGGAGTATAGCCCGCGCGCCGTTGCCTTTGGCTCAAGGCACGCGCACCCTATTTGCCCGGACATTGCGTGTGTTCGCTGTGTGCTGGGAAGATCACTACATCGATCTTATCCGATCTTATCCGTCCACTCCCCAAGCTGAACCAACACGGCATGGCATTGGATGCTAATTGACTTACCATAGTCATTTCAGACTTGGTAGCGGAGCTGGCCGCACTCTCGTGTGGTCAGCTCTTGCTCTTCTTATCCTCGCGCTATCCGGCGCGATCTTCGTGACCAACTACCACCCTGCGCCACCAGTCCAACTACATTTACGAGGATCAATTCAAGAGCAAGAAGCAACACGAGAGGTACGACGTCTAGATATCCACATTGGTACCATATACGCTTCATCACTACGCTATTACCAACCGCTCGGCAACGAGCCATAATCGCACTACTTGAAGCAGAGGCGGGGGGACCCGCAAGATAAAGCGCCTCGTGGACTTGACATGGCGCTACAAGCCCTACCCCAGCGCGGCAACGCGCCTGATAACCACCCATATCTTCACAGCCATGGGTTGGTTATCTTCGCCATCATATGGTTTGCGCTGGGGGCAGCAATCGGACACATGCGCTGAGGAGGGGCAACGGCACAGATGGGCAAACACATGGCCCATACTGGGGCCCTCAAGGCAACGTACCTTTCCGCGAATATGTTTGTGAGGTCAGCGCGTGGCTTAACGTCGCATGCGGGCGCGTGGCGCCACGGGCCCAAGCAGCCGCCATGCAACGCGGCTTGGGTGGCCTAGCGAGGACGCTCGCCATGATTGTACCACCTGACATTATAAACTATGGTGCGGACATCGATGGTGCCCACACCGACCCAGTAACCTACACTATGCTTCTCTTAAGTATGAAGTTCGAACGCCTGGAAGATGAGCGCCAGCTCACTTCAGGCACGCAGCTCATCGACTTTCATGTGCCTCACGGAGAACGAATCGATGTAATCCTCACTCGGTTCGAGATGGCCCGTCTTGAGGCGCAGTCGGTGGGGTTTGATCTTCCCAACTTCCAACTGCTCGCTATCCTGTTCCGCGCCCTAGGCGTTGGCAACCAGCGAGCCGTGCAACTCTCGCAGCCACTCAACCACCAAATGCCCCGAACGCAACAACAGTATGATGAGTTGTGTGAGAGGATGCGTTCGATAGTCCATCTGTCAGAACGGTCTCCTGGTAACGTAGGTTCAGTGTTTGGAAGGGGAAGGGGAACTGGCAGTGGAAACTTCTATACTACCTTAACCACTGAAGCTCAGCCTGGCAACGGGCCCTCAAGCATATGGGCCGACGATCCTGGAGAATCTACTGCCCTACTAACAGGGGGTCGATCACAACCAAGCTGGGCAACCAGCCCTCCTCCTAGAGAGCCTCGACCACACCGTTCCCTATGGGGTGAAGCGAATCCCCTCAACGACGGTGTATCCACCTACCCAGGTAATGGCGATTTCGACTCCGGCAGCGACACCGAAACCATATCATGCAAATGGAAGGGGGCAATCAGCGTGCCGAACACCTGTTCTGGTTATTACAACAGGCAAAGCGGAGGTGGAGGAGGTTCACACGAAAACCGGCGCGTCGTGTTAGGAGGAGGATACGGAGGAGCTTCAAAGGAAAAGGTAAAGGCAAACGGGGTCGCCGCAGGTTGAGTGGACGAGGCATCTCGGCTTTCCTCCAGAGGCTTTCAGATGATCAGTATGGTGGGATATTTTTCTGGGGAAAGGCAGTGGAAAAGGCCGTGGGAATACCTCGGGCAAAGGTAGAAGTAGGCGGGGAAACCCGCGAGGTAGAGACGGCCAGATCCTAAAGTGCCATGAGTGTGATAGTACCGATCATCTTGTAAAGGATTGTCCAGCGAAGGGAAATGGGAAGGGCAGATCGACCGAAGTCCATTTCGGCTCAAGTGAACCATCTATGGAATATCTGAGCCTCCGAGATTTCGAGGCTGTGTAACATATATTTTCACTTGGGCTAACAGTGTGGACAACTTGGGCGAGCTCGAGGCGTACGGCCATGGACTGTACGCGCACTACCTCGAGTACCTGCGCAGGTTTGTTCTCGGAAATATCGAGCTTAGGCCTGTGGAGAATGGGGCGCTGGGAAGCCAACCCTTATCTTTCTTCGACTGGATGTTCGGTAACCCAGGCGACATCTTGGCCTACGAGAGCAGTGGCGAGGAGGTCACTCTTGAGGCCTCGCCTTCGGAGGTTGACCACAACCTTCGACGTCAACCCGACCTTATGCCTGGAAACAGGCCCACTCCAGTATATCCTCCAAATTATGGTGATCTGATGGAATTAGAGTCTCAAGCATTCACTGTGGGCGTGCCAGGGAACCCGCACGTACCGCCTGGCATGCTCGCGCCAGGCGAGTACGGACCGCACGCGATACTGCAGACTCTCATGCAGATGCACGCTGTACTGGTCGTAGCAAATCCCGAGAGTCAAGAGAGTGTCGAAAGTGGCCACGTGATGCTACAAGACGCCGATGCTTGTGACGACTCGGAGTTAGTGTTAGCGGCCCTTACTCTTATCGACAGCGTGCACCCTGAGGACGTGCAGCGATATGTGTGGTATTCTAGAGGGAGATGGCGCCAAGCCCTTGAAAGGCCCATATCCATGCGTGGACGGGCTCTCCCTCCGCCGGGATGGGGTCTCCCGGCGGCGGGGCTACAACCCAGCCGCGCGGCCGTGCGAAATGTTATCGGGCTTCCTTCATGTGACTATGATCATCTCGAGGTGCACGCTATGCTCGGTAACGAGCCTGAGCCGACTGCCGTGACGCCGGCGCCGGGGCAGCCAAGCGATGCTCAGACGCTTGTACAGCAGGGAAACTCGCCCGTCCCGGCTGAACCAATGACCACCGTCATTGGCAATCCTATGTCAGAAGATGAAGAGGGCGATGGATGTGGGATGTGCGAGGACGAGACCACCATCCTCATGATGATGGAAGTCAATGGTGAAGACGAGGAGGTGGATTTCAGCCCCCGCACAAGAGCCAATTATGCCAGACTCCAGTCAGCAGGGGGGCCTGCCTGCCCAAGATGCGCCGCCTGCGGCCCCGCAGGAACCCCCGCCGGCTCCTGCTCAGGCCACGTCGGCGGCATCATCTGATGAACGTGCCAGGAGGTCTCGCTCGCATCCACGCCATGGGGGCGACCCTCGCCCTCAAGCACGGCCCCCACGCGAATGGAGGCAAGCAGCCCCATCAGAACATGCCTCTCGACGAGGGGGTCAGTTGCTCGCCTACAACGACCCTAGGCGTCAAACGGGTGAGCATTCTGCTTTTGGAAGAGGCGACCCAGCCTACAGGGATGCCCGAGGCAGGTCCATGCGGGGTGGCTGCCAGCTCGCGACGAACATTCGTCGTCCTGAGATAGAGGCAGTGCGGGCTCAGCTGCGGACCATCATTGCGGTACGCAAGCTCTACAGGCCCAACGCAGTCTGTGGTCCGTGCTCAGAGTCATTCCAGGAACGCAGGCCTGGGCGCCCTGTAGGTCTCAACGAGGGCT